CAATACTCTCTACACTTCTCTCTACATCCATATACACAGACACATATTTTATAGGAAAATAGTTGTTTAGAGTGAGTCAAGTTGCAGTCTGGTGACACAGAAGCTCCATCTTTCAGACCTACTTGCAAAATCAGCTGTGGATAAGCAGCAGCACTCACTCTTCTTGATGAAGTTAATGTGTTTTTTTGGAAAAAAAAAAAAGAAAAGCAAAAAAAAAACCCAAAGATCAACAAAACCAGACCCAAAAGCTCCTTTGCTCATTTACTGCCTCAGCAATGATTCAGTTGTGGCTGTTCAGGCATCTGCAACCAAATGTCTTTATCTCTTGTATTACCTTCCTGTTGTGACCCTTTTTTTTGTTGTACTTGGAAATTCAAAACGTCACAAGCATGGGGGTTGTAAAAATGAATGAATAAGCATCTAATCTGTTGCTCCTTTGGTAGGAATGTTGCCTTACTTGGAGTTGTAATTGTGAAATTCACATTTCTTTTATGTCAGTTTCTGTTCACAAAGTTGGAAGACAAAACCTGCTGCTGTGAGTAGGTCATAGCCAAAGTGTACCTCCTGGGCACCCAGAAATCCAATTTTGGAGAGGGGAAATCTGAGAAATCTCTTTTTTGTAAAGTAGAGTTACCTAGCTGACTCCTATGTTTGATTGTAAAAGATTTCACAACTGTTAGAGTGTAAGTCTGCTGTCTGTTCAGGTTTTCAAGCATTCAGTTACAAATCCTGTGATAACAAGGAATTCTCATGTAAGGTGGTAAAGCTGGTTGAGGCTCTGACTCCTTGGAAATAGCCCTTCAAATTCTCTTCACACTCTGCTGCTCATTTCTTGTTTCTTAGCTGGCTCATTACCAAGATTCGAGCTAATTGACACTGGCAGCTTGTGTGCTTACAGGAGAAGTCTTGATCAAACCCAGTGGTATTATACATTGCTGAGATACTAGCATGAGGTTGCATCTGTATGTACAGGAAAGTTGTTCCATAAATGCCCTAGAAAAGTACTTCATGTAGGTCAGGTTATGTGGATTTGACAGACAGTCATCTCCAGCCACCTCCAAGTGGGGATGGAACACATCAAGACTCTGAGGCAGGCTGAAACAAGAGAAGTTTTTCTCTCAGCAAACCTCTGAGATGAGAACTACTTGCCTTCTTTCAGTCTTTTGTTCTTTTCTATATTGCTTAAAAAAACCCCAAACCTGTAAACAGGGTATGTGGAATTACCCAAAGTGATTGCAAGATTCCTGCTCTTTTTTTGATGGTGGTTCAAGAGGAGTTTGGAGATTGCTAACTTTGCAGTGAGAAAAAAATCTGAATTTTTAGCGGTTTCTTCATATGAGCTTTCCCAGATGTGAGTTGCAGTTTCAAGCCTCCAAAATAAATAATTGCTGGTTTTATTTATAGATATTTCTCACTATTTTTGGGTGATAATTTTGCTGTAATTGAGATGTAGCTTAAAGATGGAATTTTGGTGGAAGCTCTTCTTTCTGAATGATAAGAAATAAAATCTTTTGGGCTGGATTTACTCACTTGATGCTAATTAAGTGTGGAAGAATTCTAAGCTGTATTATGTCATATGTTATGTGTTCTAAGTGGCAAGATTACTAAAGTTTCAGTGAAAAATTGAGGGAAAAAAAGATGATTCTTGTGGGTTTTATTTTTTCACTTCTATCTGCTGCTCCAAATGTGGACCATTTTGGGGGACTGATATAATTTATACATGGATAGAGATATAATAATTAGGTAATTAGGATAATTAGGACTTACACCAACATGCAACTGTTCACTGAGATGGCCAGCTCATGCAAGGTAAATTCATAATGTGCTTCTCTTTTTTGTGAATTAAAAAGACATTTAATTATAGTGGTAGTGGCACAACTTTTATTCCTCTTTCTTCCCAACCCATTCTGTATTCTTTCTTACCCATTTTTCAATTTTTTTGTAGTTGGTGGAAACGTGGATTGGAAGCAGATAGCAAGTATTCAGGAGTCCATTGGTGAAACTAGCTCCCAAAGTGTTGTTGTTGCTGTAGACAGGTACTGTATTAAATTTCTTGTTGCCACCTGAAGTTTTTCAGGCAGTATTTGAATACCCTCTGTTAAGAAAAAGACCTTACTAATTTATAAATTTATTTGGAAAAAGCCTACATAAAAACTACCATAGAAAAGCGCTTTTCAGTTGTGGAGGGATGGATTTTTTTTGCATCATGGGTGTTTGTGCAAGAAGGAGTAGGGCAAAGATTAGACAAGAAGCTTTTTTACTGATAAAAAAAAATTACTGCAGAAGACTTACAGGATGGAGTCTGCTGTAGTATCTGCTGAATCTTGATTTGCTGTATATAGTAACAGATTACAAATCTCATTTTGCCTTAGTACTGAGGGCATTATTGTCTGACTCTTTTTCTCCTAAATGTAATTACTGACTCCCTGCTTTCCTCTAGGTTATGTAGATATTGTCTGAAATGACCAAAATTATTATTCCAGTCTTCCGTTCTATGAATCACATTTATTTTAACTGGATTTGGCTAGGCAGAATACATATTATGAACATTCTCTGTTTATATCATACAGAAGTGATCAGACTGGTGTTCATGGATCTTGCTTGTTCAGCATCTAAGAAATCAGAACATAGAATTTTCTTAATGGTTGTCAAAATTGGTGAAGAGGTATCATTTTGAAGGCTTCAAAATATTTCTGTGATTGAAGTACAGGCAGCAAGATTGATGAAAAGTCTTGCAGTAATATTACATCAAGTGCACTGGAAGCTTGATGTAAAACATGCCATAGCTGTTTAGGTTTGCAGTGTCCCTCCCTGCTTCATAATGGGAAGTGTTTCAAATATCTACTTTTCATGGCAGATGCATATTATGCACTCTGGACGCATTTGAGTTTGTATTTCAATCAGGGATGATAAAAGCTGACCGTATTCACACTGTGTCTTTACAATTGTGAAAAACTAATTGTTGTTTAATAAATAAAAGTAATCAGAGACTGTCTATATATTAAGAATAATAAGACAAGGAAGCTTGAATACATTTAACAGATGCTTTTCTTACGAAATTTTAACATGTCTTTAATTGCACTTTACAGAATATTTACGGGATCTACAAGGTTGGATGGAAATGCTATTGGTAGGTTTCATCTCTTCCCTACCCCTCCCCACCCCTGTAAACTAAACCTTGGAAAAATATTGCATTAAAATCTGTGGTCATTTAACAGTGGATTTCGTTCGCTGGCTTTGTGCTGTGTCTATGGATGAGCTGCTGTCTGCTACCCACCCTCGAATGTTTAGTCTGCAGAAGATAGTAGAGATTTCTTATTACAACATGGGCCGGATACGGTTACAGTGGTCTAGGATCTGGGAAGTTATTGGTGATCATTTTAATAAGGTATCCCTGTTAATGCTTATAGTGCATACTCCTTCAGTTATTGATACAGATTATTTTGAGATTTATTGGAAAATCATGCTTATATGAATCGTAGTGGTTTTTCTGTCCTTCTCTGTAAGCTTAAACTAACAAAAATTGTCAAGCTGGAAAGACCTGTGAGAAGGCAGAGGTACACAGTATAATAAACATAAAAACAAAAATATACATTAAGTTATTCACCATGACCTGAGTCATGGTAAACTGGCTGCTGTTAGTTTTTTGCTGTAATTTTTGGGGGTGTTTCATGATGCTTGGTTTAAGAGAATGTCTTCAAGTCTAAATTGACTCTATCAAATGAATGTTTGACATGTGTTTTTAATATAGCTATTGAAGTCTTTTTTAGATGATTGTTTATTTTTAGGAGGTTTTAAATGCCAGATTATTTAACATAGAAAATAGCTGGAATTAGGGATTATTGAATTGCATAAACAGTGTGGTTTCTGGAATTGACTTCTGTTTAATTTCATTAATTTTTCAGTACTGCTTAGTTCTCTGTTATCAACTGTAAAGGCAGCTTGTGCTGAATCCATATGAATTCTGATGCAAGCTTACTCTGCATTTCTATTCTGCGTTCTCAGGTTGGCTGCAATCCCAATGAAGATGTAGCTATTTTTGCAGTAGACTCATTAAGGCAATTGTCAATGAAGTTCTTGGAAAAAGGAGAACTTGCTAATTTCCGATTCCAGAAGGACTTCCTAAGACCATTTGAACATATCATGAAGAGAAACAGGTAATAACATACAGTTAACCGAATTGCCTGGGATCACAAGCATCAACTTCTGCAATCAATGTTTCAGATTGCTTTTGTAAAATCGGTCATTAGAGAATTATACTATTCTAATTGATTATGTAGTTTAGTTTTTAAAAAATTGTTTATTATCCTAATTTAGGTCTCCTACTATTCGAGACATGGTTGTACGGTGTATTGCACAGATGGTGAATTCCCAGGCTGCTAACATTCGTTCTGGCTGGAAAAACATTTTTTCAGTGTTTCATCTGGCAGCCTCAGATCAGGATGAAAGTATAGTGGAACTGGCATTCCAGACTACAGGACACATTGTCAGTGAGTATGAACAACATTCAGACATCATGGAAGCCAGTGTCACTCCAGAGTCCAAGAAGCTTTGTCTGTGGACTCGCAGCCTGCATAGTAGAACCTGTTTCATGTCTTGGAACCAATGATTTACACTTTCCAGTCAGTTCTCTGGGAAAATGCTTACCAAAGTCATTCAATAAGATTAGAGTTCACTGGTTTTCTTTTTGCCTTTTTAAAAAAACTTGTCTGTTTGTTGCATTCTGTCGTAAAATAAATTAGGCCTTAGAAAATTCTATTTGATGTGTACATTTTTATTTAAGTGAAGTATTCTGGGGTTTCACCTAGGAAAAAAGAAAAATATGTACATATTTTACTAATATGTTGTTTGCTTATCTTTCTCTGTTATTCTGAATTGTGCTTGTGTACAGCCTGTTTAGGAGAAAGTGCTGATCTAGGGGGCCACTATGATAACTTCTTTTTTCTCTCTCTGTTCTAATCTAGATCCCAGGCTTTAAGGGATCTCGTTATTCTGTCTGAACGTCTGCAAGTTAATAAAACTGTTTCATCTTCGATGAAGCACTTTTTTTTTCTTCAAAGGCAGCTATTTAAAAACAAGGCAACATGTTGCTGGGGAGGAGGTCCATTAGTAGATGGAGCTCCAAACTTCATGTGTCCCTCTTAAGCTGTGGTGACACAGACTAGTGTTAAACACTAAGCCTATTGCTCTAGCCTTGCTTAACTGCTACATTTCCCTGCTTTAGTCCAGGTGCTACCTTCATTTATTTTAAATACTCACTGTCAAAATTAAATGCCCTCTGGGAATTTTTTTTTATTACTTCTTTTTCTTTAGTTTTTCTTTCATCTCAGGCATTTGACAGTACCAATCAATGAACCAGTCTCTCATGACTTCTGTTACAGACAGTTCATATTAGAATTAATAGATTTTAAAGCATGACACTTTTTTTTTCTCCTGTTCACACTTTTCTCTCAGCAATTGTGTTTGAAAAACACTTCCCAGCAACCATAGATTCTTTCCAGGATGCAGTGAAGTGCTTGTCTGAATTTGCCTGCAATGCAGCATTTCCAGATACCAGTATGGAAGCGATCCGCCTCATTCGCCACTGTGCAAAATATGTGTCCGACAGGCCTCAGGTATAGTCTGTGTTAAGTAAATTACAAGTGCTTTTATAAAGAAAAATAGTTATGCTAAACTTACTGGCTTCCCTCCAAGTTTCATGGATTAATGAGAAATGTATTTTATTCAGAAACAATTGAGTTTAACATGCCACAGGCTTTGAAACTATCAGTGGTTTTTCTATTCTTCTTTCATTCTCCTTTGCCCATCCCTACCACCCAGTTGTTCAGCTGGTGACTCGCATTTCTGAGAGCTGTTGGAAATCAGCATATCTCAGGATCTGCTCTCTGCAGGGAAATGTGAAGAAATGGATAACCAAAAATACTTGATATCCTCAAAATGTTATGGTTAGGTCCTCACTTTCAGAGCTGTCTCTATAAAAAAATGAGAACAAGAGACTCACACTGAACTGCAAGCAAAAACTGGTGCACTTGAATGTGTAATCTTGTTTATTTTTTTAACTTTATTCATCATAATAAACTAAGCATTAGTTGGAAAAACACTTCACTTTCCCAGTGTTACTGTTTTGATTGCCAACTCATGAGGTATCAGGGTGTAATACTCTTGCAGGAGAGATTGTTGCTTACAGTCCAAATTGTTTTTTATTTTGAAGACTCTAACTTCTGTGACTGTGTAACTCTGTTTCCTTCTGAAGGCATTCAAGGAATACACAAGTGATGATATGAATGTAGCTCCTGAAGACAGAGTGTGGGTGCGAGGATGGTTCCCAATTCTCTTTGAGTTGTCCTGTATCATCAATAGATGCAAATTAGATGTAAGAACCAGGTAACAATCAGTATTTGTAATTCAAATTTTAAAAGGCTTACTTTATATTTTGAAACAAAACCAACTCTTGGTAAATGTAATCACTGTAAAATGACTTATGTATTTAATTTGGGTGATACCACCGTGGAAACAACAAACACCTTTTTAAATAGTCACTGGAATATGGAAATTAAGTCTGTGTTCTGTACAACTGAAATTTTGATTTTCTGTTATAATAAACAACAAAGTTATGTAGTTGTGATTGCATTCTGTCTTATCCCACTTACCTTGGGGATTTTAAAACTCGTTTTATACCATGATTCATTAAGTGGTTGAGGATAGCAGAAATGGTTAAAAAAAGCAAAGCTGCACTCTGATTTCATTTAAAACTTGCTTGTTTTCTTGGAATATGATTTTCCCTTGTAAAGTTTATTCAGTTACAGTTCTGATGTGAAATATGAGGGGTTGCACACAAATAACTTTAAATTTACACGTTGGCATGGGTGCTGTGCATCTGGACTCCCTTTATAGCTGGTGAAGGTTAATAATGATTTCTAGACTTTTGTACTTTTTAAACTGGAAATTAATAAACAAAATATTTGTTTGTTAAATTTTGTGGCCCTTGGTAAAAGAGTTGATTTACTATTTTAATTTTAATTTACCACAGCTCTCAAAACTATTTTTGGCTATTGCCTGCAACTATAAAGTGCTTTTTTACAAGCTGATTTTCTACCTATATTTTGTGTACTCATGTGTATGTATAATGTTCTCAACAGTATTTGAGTTTGTTATTGCTGCTCTAGTTGTACTTACTTGGTCTTGTTCATGTCTTTCTGTAACTCTTGGTATAAGTTGTTCTTTTTTCATTTCAGGGGCTTAACAGTAATGTTTGAAATAATGAAGACATATGGCCATACTTATGAAAAACACTGGTGGCAAGATTTGTTTCGGATTGTCTTCAGGATATTTGACAACATGAAACTGCCAGAACAGCAGACTGAGGTGATAAAAGTGGAGGAAGATAATTTACATGAGAACTACATTTACAGTAGAAAACCTGTAATATAACTTCGTCAAGTAATGTAGGGTAAACCTCAAAACTTGGATGGTGACCTGTGGTTCTAGTAGCCTTGTTTTGTTTGTTTTAATGGCATTCTGTTGGCAGGTGTTGTCACTTTTTTCATTTTTTAAAGGCATATGTGTAAAATACCTAGTAGTTTACACTAGGAACAGCAGAAGAATAGCATAAAATGCAATGTATCTAGGGTTTGTGAGAAGAACTGTAGCTTTTATGTGTGATGTTTGGAATCTGAGACACGCAACATGCTCACTTGAGTGAGCATTGTAGTCAGCAGTAAAGTCACAATTAGGAGAAGTAAGTTCTGTTACTTCAAAATTTTTGATGACAAGGCAAAAAAAACTCCTCAGGCAAACTGAAACTAAAAACCCCGTAAACAGCCCACAAGCAAACATAAGCCATCCAAAACAGCACTGTGCTGTCATTGCACGCTTTTGACCAGCCATTCGGGTTTTGATCTGCCAAACCAGAACCAGGTACTGCTCTGAAAAACTGAAATGGGCTTTAAAATGTAACTAATGTGTAAATTATTGGTATTAGAAGTTAGATCAAAATTGTCAATTGTTTGGGAGGCTTTGTCTGGCTATTTGTAGTAGGACATGTCTCACTTCATTAATTTTTTTTCTCCTTGGAAAATGCTTAAACACAGCTTTAGCTTGGTTTTAAATCATTAAGCTAGAATTGGACACTAAGGCAGTTGTTTGTTCTTGTAGTTCTTTTTAAACCTGCGAGTTAGCAAAGCATTCCCCTGGAAAATGCTTAAACACAGCTTTAGCTTGGTTTTAAATCATTGAGCTAGGATTGGATATTAAGACAGTTGTTTGTCTGTTCTGTAGTTCTTTTTAAACCTGCTAGTTAGCAAAGCTGGAATTAAGGCTCCAAATTTTAATGTTTTGAGATACAGAAATGAATTTCATGTCACTATAAAGCAAATGGAGTAAATACAAATGTTTGTCCAGAAGTTTCACCTTCAGGTTGTAACTCTTCTTTTTTTTGACTCCTAGAAAGCTGAATGGATGACAACTACTTGTAACCATGCACTTTATGCAATCTGTGATGTATTTACACAGTATTTAGAAGTACTTAGTGATGTTCTTTTGGATGATATATTTGCACAGCTGTACTGGTGTGTGCAGCAAGGTAGGAACTGTACAAATTATATTAAAACAATGTTAACATTTTACTCTCTTGAATCTGAATTAACAAATACCCTGTTTGTCTCTTACAGACAATGAACAACTGGCACGATCTGGTACAAACTGTTTGGAGAATGTTGTCATCCTTAATGGTGAAAAGTTTACCCTAGAAATCTGGGATAAAACTTGCACTTGCATGCTGGATATTTTCAAAACTACAATCCCTCATGCGTAAGACAACTTATTATTTATACTTTGTAAAATAGTTTAACTAGATTATTTACTCATTTCAAACTCTTAGATATAGGTGGGGTGAACAAAAAACTGTTAAGTGTGGACTAAAGAGAAACAGACTTACTTGCAACATGATGATAAATTAGGTGTAGGTATTCTTCTGTATTGTTAATGATGAAGTGTTAAAAACTAAAATACTGTATAGGACATAAGAAAAAACTCTCCAACAACCCCCAGAATGTAACATGAATCAGTTTTAAGGTCTTGGATTTTTGGAGAAGTCCTATCTGGTTTTTTTGTTATTTTCTTTTTTGTAATAGAAGATGCAGGCTTTGCTGTTTGTAATTACATGCAGAGCATTTGCCATAAAATACTAAAATACTGCAACAGTCTTACAGATTTAAGTCTCTGTGGTTGATGGTTAATTTCCATCATATGTTCCTATGAATCTTAATATTTTTGTGAAAATTATCTTGGATATTTGGTAATTCTTTCCATTCATATAATGACTCTGTGTGAGGTTTCTTGGAGTAAGGCTGCAGCAATCTGAGTGCTGTGCTTCATCCAGTTCATACTCTTTGCTTCTGGGACCTACTTCAGGCCTGAAGAAAACTGAAGCAAAAGGAACGTTCTGCATGTCAGTCTTTCCTTATTTTTAGAGTTGTAAATCAGATAGCACTGTAAGAGAGCTTCATTCATACATTAAAAGATAAAATCTGTCACTACCTCACCTTTTTCTTTTTAAAGTAAGTAGGTATAAATTAATTCCATCAAAAAATAAGTGTAAAATGAAGCTGAAATATTTGAGATCTATCAAGATACTACTGCATTTTGATAACTGCCAAAAATAAAATTGTAAGCCACATCTCTGGATGTGGAAGTCCAGCTGGATTAACCCTAACTTCTTATGGCCTGTACTTGGAAAGATTTTGAAGTTAATGTTCACTAGCAGAACATTTGCTTTGGTTTCAGCTTATGATCAAAACTTAAATTTCTGTGTATTCTTATAATTGAATATTAGAAACCTTTCTAGAGCAGCAGTTTGGATAGCTTAATATTTAGACATTCAGAATATTCCTGTTGCCTTTAGTTATATCTAATTTGAAATATGTGCATTATTTGCTTTGATGTTGAGGCCCTTCTGCTTCTCAAATGGGTTCTTTTCCTTGGGAGAGTATCCAACTCCTTCCTTTTACTTTCTCTTTATTTCTCTTTTAATTTTTCTGTACCATCTTTTGAGAACTTCATTATATTATTCCTTCTTAAAATCTGGGAGGTTCTCAACCTTTGTAGTCTTATTTTGATTTTATGTGAGGGTACTCATCTTTTTTTCCTTCTGTTTCTGAGTCCTAGGAGGCAAATGATCTCTTTACCTTTGTTTTTCTATGCCTAGAAGTAACACAGTAGTTAATGTTGAAATGAAGACAGACAAATCACACGGTGGTATATATGAAAACTTCATGGGCAAGTGCTTTATTGCCAGTTGTCTTCAAATAGTCAGAGGCTGCAAGTCTCTGGAGTGTAAAGTATCTTCTGGCAGAAGTTCTTATTAGTCTGATCAGATGGAGTTACATTTGTTCTTTTTTAGCATTCATGTGAAATATCTTCCAGGTGTTGTGGAGCTTCTCTAATTTAAGAGCTGCAACATTGGCTGCAGAGTTCTTAGTTGCAGTATCAGCCTCTGCTGCTTCTTGGCAAGCTACTTTTTTGCAAAGAGAGTGGATCATATTTCCTTGTTTGGAAAATGTACTATAGTATTTACTCAGCTACCAATTTCTGCAAGGATCAGTTACTAGAAAACCACAAACCATGCTGATGCCAAGGTTCTGCAGATCACTGAGGTGTTGATAGCTGAAGATACAACACAGAAGGACACAGAATGGCTGAAGTTGGAAAGGGCTCTGGAGGTTTGGTGACCCAACTCCTGTGCTTAGGCATGGCCACCCCAGAGCACTTTTCCCAGGACCATGTCCTGACTTTCAAATATCTCCAAGGAGGGAAGCTCCACAGCCTTTCTGGGCAGCCTCTGCCTTGTGTTTGATCACCCTCACAGTGAAAAAGTGTTTCCTTATGCTCCTAGGGAACTTCCTGTGTTTTTGCCATTGCCTCTGGTCCTGGCTTTGTGAATCACTGGAAAAAGCCTGGCTCTGCTTTGCCCCCACATTTCAGATATTTATAGTATGTTGATGAGATGTCCTGAGCCTTTTCTACTCCAGGCTGGACAGTCCCTGTTGTCTCAGACTCTCCTCATGGGAGAGATGTTCTGGTTCCTTCTTCACCTTTGTGGCTTTTTGCAGAGTTTTCTCCGGTAGGTCCATGTCTCTGAAACGGGGGAGCCGAGGACTGGCCATGGTGCTGAGCAGGGTCCCCTTCCCACCTGCTGGCAGCTCTCCTCACACAGCCCAGGACAGACATTGCTTTCTCTGCAGCAAGAGCACCCTGCTCACTCATCCTGGTGTCCAGCAGGATCCCCAGGGCCTTCTCTGAGGGCCAAGCTGCTTCCCAGCTGGGCAGCCCCCAGCACGTCCTGGGGCGTGGCCTCGTTCCTCTCCAGGTGGAGAACTTTGTTCTTCCCTCACTGAACTGGACAAGGTTCCCATCAGCCCATTTCTCCAGCCTGTGGAGGTCCCTCTGGATAGCAGCATGACGCTCTGGTGTATCAGCCACTCCTCCTACTTTCGTGTCATCCAGCTTCCTGAGGGTCCTCTCTGCCCCATCACCCAGGTCATTAGGATGGACAGATTGGGCCCAGTATTGATCCCTGGGAAGTACCACTGGCCTCCAGCTAGATTCTGTGCACCTAATCACCGTCCTCTTGGCTTAGATATTCAGTCAATTTTCAATCCACCTCACTGTTTGCTCATCCAGCCTATTGATTTTTGCTTATTTTAATAGTTTCTTTAATTTTTCTTTTAGTTTAATTTCTCTTCTTTATATTTTTTTGTTAATTTAAATTTTCTGAAGCTTCATGAGGGCAAGTCTTGGCTTTCTGTTGCTGAGAAATCCAGTGTGAGTGTCCTCTTGTCTTCAAAAAATTCGAGAGTTAGAATTGGTTCCTTGTGTAAATTATGATGGGCTGGCCTCTACCGGCTCACAATGGCTCATTATCCCAATGCCTCAGTTTATGTTCTTGCAGCTTTCAAGAATCAATTCAGTTCTCTGTTCTACTTTATTTGTTGCCTTATGACCTGCCTCAAGATTTTATCTTTTCTTATCTCCAATTTTTCTTTTTTGTTATCCAGTATTCAGTTTTCTGGAGATCAGTGGTATATTCACTTAAGATGCTTAACTTGTTGTAAAAGCTCTCCCTTAGGAAATGCAGATACAAATGTCCAGTATGTGTTACCTCATGCAGATTGAGACTAGAGTTTGAGATCATGGCAATGACAAGTAACCCAAATCTTACTTTGCAGCAGTAAATTGGATAGAACAAGAAATGATGGGACAACTTAGGTTATTTAATCCAATTTCCCTCAATTCTTGGCAGGCACAGTCAGGCTCAGTAAGTTACAATTAGTGTAGAAATTTTTTAATGCTAAGGTTAAGATCCTCAAGACAGCAGTGTCTTGTAGGAAATCAGTGGGGAAGAGATCAGAAATACTGTCAGTGATTTGATACCTCTAACAGCAATGAATCCTGAGTGGAAGAGGTGAATTTTTAAGTGGAATTAGAAACATAATCCTGGAATATACCCCAGACAGAGAATGCAAATGTTTGTGTGATTTCTTCTGGAGTAGATTCATTCCTTATTCTAGGTCAGGCTTAAGGCAGTGTGGGAGAAGAGGGCCACTAATGGCACTAAAACACTGCCTTAAGACAAATCCAGTATTTCTGAGAAAAGCTAATCCACCTCAATACAGTCCACTTGTCCATATCCAAGGTAGTTGGCAGAAATGTTGAAGTTCAACAAACACAGTACTTAGACTATTAAACATAGATGAAAAAATAAAGTGCACTTAGAATTAAAATTAATGCAAAAAACCCACACCATCTTGCAGGGAACTTTTTAGAGTGTTGGTTCTGATTTATATTTGAAACATAGTAAATTTGGGACTGGTGTTATGTTTTCAAGGCTGCTGACTTGGCGACCAGTCGCTGGGGAGTTCTGCTCTGGCTCTCCCTCTGATGGAAAAGAAAAACTGGTAAGCTGCTGAAATAAATAAAACAATAATTTAAGATTGCAAGAGCTCAGTACAAATGTGTTGTGATGTAGAATAGGCGAAAAATATGCTTGGTTTAAATACATTTTTCAGTTTTGATTTATGTATTATTTTTCCCGCTCAAGTACTATTTAATGTTTAAATATGGCAAGGAATTAATTGATAAAAAAGTATGTGTTTGTTTGCAGCAAAGATGACTTCCATAAATTGGCTGTAGGTAGTGTTTGTTTTAGGTAATGTCCTGTGTCTGGCAGGTTTCTCTAATACTGTATTTGAGCTTCGGATTTTTTGTGGTTTGGGTCATGGTTTTCTTTCATTTTGATATACTGGAAAAAAGAGAAACTGCTGAAGAGGGATAGATTGACAGATTGACTTTTTTTGCCTCCAAATTTTCTCTTGTAATAAGACCTTAAATATCTATTTAAAATAGAAAATTTGTATAACCATCAGATTTCTTAGTGTTGATTGAACAAACTGATGTGAAGTCTGGATTTGCCTGCAAGTGACAGCTCCTGTAGCTGCTTTGCTACTGATGAGAATTAGTTTAGCTTTTGGACATTCTCACAAGATTGCTCCATAAAGTTTTTTATAGATTAATGAAGCACTTGATACAAGTTGCTCAAGGATAATGGTCCCAAATGAGCTTTACTGAGAGAGCCTGACTCCCTCCATTTATCTTTATGAAGTGTTACCATAATTCAGCTTAAACAGAACAAATGTTTGTGAAGGCCAGTTTTCATTACATGGGTATTGTACCTTTGTGCTGTACCGTGACTCATTTATATGGTTTGATCTAAACATATTGGCTATGCTTTTGATCCATTTATCAAATATAATAGCATGTGTAAATGGCAAATAAATATCTTAGTCCTGAGTAAATGGAAAGATCTATTCCCTTTGAAATAGTTTAACATTAATGTTTTTAAAAATTATTTTTGTCTTCAGTGTAGAAAGATATTTTGCAACTTCAGAATTAACAGAACTTAATAAATTTATAAATAATGAAATAAATGAGTGGTGAAATAAATTATACTAAAGGAAAAATATTTTTGGCTGTCTCATTTAGTAGGATGGAATCTTTGCAGGCTTTGGATAATTTCATCTCATTTTTCTTTAGGTTGCTCAAATATGATGGAGTGTTTTGCTATCAGTAGACATGATACCTAGTAAAATATATATTTTTACTTAGTAGAGATGAAAACTTTGGTTATCTACTGATATAAGAAGCTGAGGTGTTCTTTACAGGAACCTGCCAGTAAACCTCCTACTCTTGATCTTGTAAAAGCTGTAGTAGCTCTTGGGTGATAGGAGAAAAGCTTGGAGGGAGTACAAAAACCTATCTGAAAAATGCTGCTCATTGCCTTTTCTGTGCACTTAAGTATTTGTTACTTGTTAAATTTTCAGTTGTTTTTTAGTTGCTCATCTTTCTGGTACATCTTTCATGAATGCTCATAGCAAATATGACTGAAGAGAATGAAAGTGCAGTGTTGAAACAGCAAATGTCTTCAGCTCTGAAGAGCACAGCACTATTACCAATAACCGGAAGTTTTCTCTAAGTTAGTTACTTAATTTTTTTCTTTCTTTTCAGGATACAATCTCCCAGAAGTCAGTGGATATCCATGACTCCATCCAGCCTCGATCTTCAGATGGACGCCCATATCAGCCCAGCACAGGGGCCACGGTAGCGGAAGAAGCGAGTAAAGCCAGGCCAGCAGCAAGTACGTGTTCCGCAGGGCTGTGGCATCTGGTGTCTGTGTAGAGTAGTGTGTACTAGATGTTTGATATATTAGTTGCAGTCCCAGCTGTGACTTCAGAAATATGATGTGAAGAAATCACATTTTTGTCTTCATGTAGTATGACAGAATTCTCTTGGACTCCTGTGGGTCCGCATTTTTTGCCTGTGTTTTAAAAATCTGAGTTCAACTGCAAGCTTCTAGGCTTTTTAACCAAAGCAAAATATTTAAATAGTCTTCTTACAGTGCTCTGTGAGATTTCTTTTCTTAGGAGCAGAGATTTTTCAGTGCAAAATGCAACAGAAGCAGTAGCTGAAAAAGAATTCTGTATATGATTAGAAGAGAGTGTATCAAACCCTTATTTAAGATCCTTCTGCAGCTTTGTTTCATTGCTTAAAATGGTCATGTGGTACATTAGTACTTGCCACAGCTGCAAACAAGCGTGATGCCAAAGCTGTGCTAAGCCTCCTGCCTGGGAACAACCTCTGGCTCTTGCTATAGCACTGAAGGTCCACGTCACTCATTTTGGTGATTTTTAGGTAACACTGAACCAGGTTGATCCAATGTATCACAGACAACTTCAGGAAACAGTTTTTTAAGAAGTTCAAACTGGTAACATGATGATCTGTCCTGGTGTTAGTAATTCCAACAGGTGGATTCCAGGTTTGGGTTACACATGTGCTTGAAGTTAAACTGTTCTTCAACATGCCCTCAAAACAGCTCAGAAAAGTTCTTTTGTTAACAAGTAATTTTCTTTCCTTTACAGAATTTCCAGAACAGAAGTTATTTGCTGCTCTTTTGATCAAATGTGTTGTACAGCTGGAACTCATTCAGACGATCGACAACATTGTGTTCTTCCCAGCAACTAGCAAAAAAGAGGATGCAGAGAATCTAGCAGCAGCACAAGTAAGTGGAACTGATAGGTACCTCTATTTCTAACACCTTTTCCTTCAAAGACTTTAAGGTAAAGTTTCTTGAACTCCTGTAGCATCTGCTAATTTACAATTTTTACATGCGTTTGGGAATTTCCATTGGACTGTTGACATCTTTTACAACTTCCGTTAAATTGCATTTGCTGTGCCAAGGCAGCACTGTGGAGAATAAAACATGTATTGCTCAAAGGGATTTATGTAACTGGGATGTGGATACAGCCTTTAATACAGCGTTAAGTTTAAGTGCAAATACAGATGTAAACAGGGTAGGATTGAGTTATCACAGGAGCTTGCTGAAAACAGTTGTGAATTTTTACGTCAAATATTTTTCTTCCTTTTTTTCCAATAGAGAGATGCAGTAGACTTTGATGTCCATGTGGATACACAGGATCAAGGGATGTATCGTTTCCTAACATCGCAGCAGCTTTTCAAACTTCTCGATTGTCTGCTAGAATCTCACAGATTTGCTAAAGCATTTAATTCAAACAATGAACAAAGAACTGCTCTCTGGAAAGCAGGTGAGTCAGTCCCCTTGAAGAAATACTTTGTGACAGTGTGAATTGACCCAAAAATAGGTCAGAAGTACTTCCATACCAAATGTAAAAGTTGAAGCTTTAGCTCTACAAGCGTAGGATTCATAAACTATGGAGGTGCAAATACCTCTGGTATTGCTAAAATTTAAGGTTTCACTGAGGTACAGCTGCCACGCTGATTCTTGGCTGTAGGTGTGAGTCCCATGCTTGGAAACTGCAGGCACAAACACAGGTTTCACAGCCACTTGTAAGCTGATGCTAAAAATGGATGCCAAACACAATTATGGCACATATAAATAGGTTAATTTTTATCACTGCTCTATTGTAATAAATATTATGAGAAATTAATTACGTGAGGTGATTCTTTTGTCTGTGTGCAGAAGATGCTTAGAAAGAGAAGTGGGGGACTGGTAAGAAAGAAGGTCAGCTGAACCAAAAATCTAAATGGATGCTTGGAATTCCTGTAGGTTTCAAAGGCAAATCCAAGCCCAACCTGCTGAAGCAGGAGACGAGCAGCCTGGCCTGTGGGCTGCGCATCCTGTTCCGCATGTACATGGACGAGAGCCGCACCAGCGCCTGGGAGGAAGTCCAGCAAAGACTGCTGAAGTAAGGCCCATGGAGCTGAGCCTGTTTGTGTCATTTCTGATGCTAAAGAAAGGGGGTGGGTTATTTAAAAGGATAGACCATCTCTGTTTGCAGTAAACTTCTAGATCCAACACAGGTGTGTAGTGGTCACAGCTAATATTAAGAGTTTTATGTTGTCTGGGGAGTGCTGTGCCTCCAGCTACTGATGCTGTCTCTCCTTCTTGTTCTCATTACATGTTTTGCAGAGAGAACAAAGATTTTTTCACCTTTTTTTTTTTTTGTCATGTGGGTAGGTGGGGGCTCTTCTTTAAAAAGGAAAGCAGCTATCACTTAAACCCTGTTTTTTACTAACCTCAGGTGTTTTAGGGAACTGTCACTGTTTATTCTCATTTTCAGAAATGGATACTGGGCTTAAGCAGCCTTATGAGCATACAGAGACCTTTGGCTCTTTGGTTATTGATCTGAATGTTTTTTGTTGATAAAGTTTTCAAGCAACTGTTGGACTAAGGGAGAGCTTTAAACCTCAACAGAAACACTTGAGGCTAAGTCTTCAAGGCTGACAGCCTAGGAAGCAGAGCTGAAAACTGCCTGGTTACGTCAACATGAGATATTCTTAAAGCCCACGTAGCGTTTTGTCACATACCTCTCAAAGAGCACTTGATACTTTTCAAATAGATTCACAGACAGTATAATCACGTTTGGTCAGCTTATTTATTACTGAAGTCCTAGGACTTTGGGTTTGAATTGAACAAGGTCACTGCTTTCTGTCATTAACCAGGCTTAGAGCAGCTTTCATAAAGCAATGCTTTTCTACACCAGGGCATTACACTGCCAGAATTTGCAAAGCCAAAGCTCTCTTTCTGCAGTAGACCTCGGAAGGAAAAGTCTGTTGTTATTTTGGTGTCTTTTGTCTCCAGTGTCTGCAGCGAGGCTCTGAGCTATTTCCTTACTCTTACATCAGAAAGTCATCGGGAAGCCTGGACTAACCTTTTACTCTTATTTTTGACTAAAGTCCTGAAGATAAGTGATGAAAGGGTAAGTAACTGTTTGGAATGATGTTTGAGATGCCACATACAGGTAAGAAGTAGTTCCAGACTGGTTCATCACACACAGTTACAGACTTGACTTTAAAAGCTCCTGCTGCTCTGTAGACACTCTTGTGTTGAGGGAATATACATTCAAACTGCGCTTGACAGATACTGACACTAATAATTCACTGTGAAGGTGCAGTGAGTGATAAAATAAAATGTGTCAGAGAAGTTTAAAGATGCTGGAATCCTTTAGAAGTGTGTGTTAAATTGTTTTTACCCTCTCCTGCTGAGGAAGACAATTAGTGATGGTATTTTATTCAAAGAATTAACTTGTTTCTGCTGCCAGTGCTGCAGGTATATGTATACCTTGACCTTCTCCAAAGAAATTCTGCAGAAAATAAATCCTTGTTTAATCCCCCTCTAAGAACACTTGGCTGAAATAATTAAGTGATGAAAAAGGCCAACTGCGAGAAAAAAGCTCATAAAAGAAAAATATTTCCTGTTGGAGAATAAGCATTAGTAAGGAGCTTTGTATAGCTGGTGAGCATCTGTCAGAGTATATCAGAGCTGTCTTAGCCTTATTCTGGCACTGCTGATTTCTGTTGTAAAGGTGTTTCTGCTTGTCACTTTGTGGGTTTCTCACCCTCATTTGGGAGGGTATTTAAAATTCTGGTTTTGCAGTGTGCTGTCTGAGGTGTACCGATGTATAACAGAGTTCTTTCTTGTTTGTTTTCTCCTCAGTTCAAGGCCCATGCCTCATTCTACTATCCTTTGTTGTGTGAAATCATGCAGTTTGACCTTATTCCTGAGCTTCGGGCTGTTTTGCGAAGGTTTTTCCTGCGGATCGGTGTGGTTTTCCAAATATCCCAACCACCAGAACAAGAGCCTGGAATAAGCAAGCATTAGCAGATAGTGACGCTCTCTTTCCAAGTTTATATTCCTCAGCTAAATAAAAGGACCAGGTAGCTGGGCCATTCTGTCTGGATCTCCATATAAATGGTTTCTTTCTCTGGCAACGTGTATCCAAGGGTTAACGGTACAGACGCTTCCAACTGTAATTACGGCTTGCAAAACTCCAGTCCCTCTCTTTCCTGGCGGATTCTCTCTCATCAGTTTCTCTTGCCTGGCTCCTGCTCAGCACAGAGCCAGTTTATAGCACAGTCCCCTTTGTCAGCACGGGCTGCAGTGTCCTTTACTGTCCTAGACAGCAGCATAGCAACAGATGTTTATGGCGGGTGTGAAAGTGAAATGTACCCAAAGAAACATATATATGTAAAGGTTTGAGCTTCTGCGAGAAGTACAACTCAGGAGAGCTGTATTTTGAAGGATAAAATGTTTATAGTGAAAAGAAAATGGAGATTATTGTTCATGGAAAAAAATATTTAGCAACTATGTCTGATATTCTAAGATTTTTGCACACTCAGGCTGTCTGAGACATTGGTAATCATCCTTCTGTGAAAATGTACAGAGATGCAGATCTGTAATATAAACTCTTTAACACTATACAGTTCTTCCCAAATTATTTTATTTCTTTAATACTGATTTGTTGAAAGCCCATAACTCTTCCTTGTTTACCAAATGCACTAGAAGTTTGGGTTTCTTTTTTGGGTTGTGATTTTTTTTTCTTCCTTTTTTTGTTATTTTTGTTTTGTTTTGTTTTGTTTCATTGTAGCCCAGAAGTTATTGTTGCTGACTTTTGTCAAGAACAGCGGTAGAAATATCACGACTGACATAACTACCTGTAATATACTTGTTTTAGGGCTTTTAAATATAACGAGCCATTGAAATTATGATCCTTCAAGGACTGGAACTTGAATCACTGCAAACAAGTCTAGGTTGTGTCTGCTGTCAGATGTTTTTTGTTTGATGTAGATTTCACTCTTATGTACAGAATTTAATGTTGGATATATTCAAGTAACAAATCTGGCATGGTTTGGGGATGGTTAAATTTATTGGAAATGTATTCATACTGTGAATTGTGCTCTGATGGTTAACAGACGAGATTGTCAAGCATTCTGTATTACAATGGATGTAGAAATTTTTTTCAGATGGACAAAATGTATATGGTACAGATATGTAAAGTTTTCTATGTAAAAAAAAAATTCTGTACAACTTTCTGTACAATATTTGGTTCTCATCTGGCATATTCTAATCAGGTTATAGGTCAATAAAGTTTTTGAACTCTTTCATCAGTGCAATGAAAACCAGTCTAATCCACAGCTACTTGTTTTACAGTTTGCTTTGCCTCTCATGCTTTTGTTTCAAAGGAGCAATCCCCAGGCCCTGGGAGCAGAAAGCTGGGTGCCCTCTGGTCAACTGGGATGCCTCTTCTCACTGTTAGAGACAAATACAGGGGGAAAAGGAGTGGTACATTAAAAAACAAAAAAAGGTGGGCAGGGCTGGAGGAGAATAAAAGAGCTACATGAACTGGTCAGATGGACCCTGCAGTGCTGCACAGATAGAAGCTCAAAGCTGCACTTTGCTCTCTGGGGATTAAAACACAAACAGCAAACAGCTGCTGGATAAAGGGGGAAGGGAAGGGCTGGGATTGCAGTTCTGCTGCCTTGGAACACATCAGCCAGTTCAGCCTTGTCAGCGTCTTCAATTTTGTTAGTAAGAGTGGAATTGGATTGTTCTCCAGTGTGTTCCCACAAAACTGACTGGCACAGCAGAGCAGTGTGAAGAGCAAGGTGTGTGAGGGAGTCTCCTCTCTTTCAGGCCAATGTATCTGCCACAGACATTCACAGCAGGCTCCAGAAATAAGTGTAAGCAGTTCAGTGAAATAGCTATGGGAAAAGCCAGAAAATGGAACTAAAATGCTTAAAAAAGGGAATTTTAAAAAACCACATGCTATGACCTGTGGTTCAGAGTTTGCTCACAAAGTTAATTAGGGTGGAGCACAACCAAATAGCAATTACAAGAGTCAGAAGGGGTAGAACTGAGGGTATTTGAATTAATTGTAGCCTTTCCCCTCGGGCAGTATTTTACTTGTTCAGTTTGTTGTGCTGTGTTTTAATCTTAAACTGCTGTGTTAGGCCAGACCTAAGGTCTTTGTCTGACAGTGACCAGTAATAATTTTTACAGTGAGTGTAATGTGTCCCATCCTATTCATTGTCATACTCTTCCCCCATGGCTTTAGCAAACTGTTCTGACCATTACCAGGTGTCCCTGACACTGCTGCCCTGAGCACTATTGAAACAGCCACTGTTCCTTGTGTGTCCGCCCAATTGCTTTCTAATCATCTGGGTTCAAGATAGAGCAGTGAGTACAATGAATTATCTAAAAACTTGGGCAGTTGGTGTTTTGGGGCTCTTTCTGGTTTTAAACCTCACTACTTTATTGTTTTGTTGTGTACTCCTCTTTAGTAAGGACATTATTCTTGTATAGCCTGCCTTCTCATGCCTTATGTATTGCTCATGTGAGCAAGGCCCAGTAGTTGTTTAATTTTGGTTCACTGGGAGCTGAGCCTTGGTGTCATTGTAACTCTTCTGTGCCCCCTTAGTTCTTGCAGTGCCAGAGCAGCACCAGGGCTACTCTGGGCATCAAGTTCAACTTGCAGCTCTCTGAATGCTCACATACGTGGTAACTGTCAGAAACCTGGGGCAGGGGCAGAGAATAAGTTCTTTTAGTGATCAAAATATCCATCAGGTCTGGGACTGCAGGTACATTTATTTTGCGGCAGGCTGTCATGATAAAAGCTTAGGGAGGCAGAAGGGCCCTGCCAAAAAGCTGAACTTTGGAGCCATGCAGCCTGAGGTACTGGCCCGGGTCAGGGATTGCACCAATGCCCCTGCTTGAGTGTCCACTGCTGTCAGACCCACACTGTTGAACCAGAAATTCAGGGTAAGAATTTTCCTGATTTGGCAAATCCTCTCTGGAAAGGAATGTGTAAGTCATGAAGAAGCTCAACACCACAAAGGTTTGAAAGTACATCTGTTAGCAAACATTGCCTGCCGTCATCATGGAGCTGCTGTAGCCTGACAGGTTTACAAAAGCTTGAAGATGGCAATGTAGTAAAAATAAAAGACCTTGTAAAAAGTTCTTGTTTCCATTAGTGGTTTATTAGGGTCATTTTTTCCTCCTGTTGATCAGGTTTAGGCCTCTGGGAAAAGGAAAGGAAAGTTGCACCATTACCTCTGCTTCACCTCTTTTTCCTCCTGTTGATCAGGTTTAGGCCTCTGGGAAAAGGAAAGTTGCAGCATTACCTCTGCTTCACCTTAGTTGTGTAGTTCACTGAACTAAAATCCTGCTCCATGTCCTTCCTGAAGCTCTGTGCTCACAATGAACAGATTTTCCATATGTTTTTATTTCTTTGGGGACAGCCTTAACACTCCAGTTTGAGTGATGAGTAGATGAAAGCTGAAGCAAATCATAAATTAAGAAAATTGAAGTTGGCTTTCATAGTTTTTATAACAAAAATAATTTTAGTAACAAAATACTTTATTAACTCTTTAATCAGAAACATAAATATATTCGACAATATCTGTATTTTCAGCACACGACAAGTTAGGGAATGTAAGACACATTGTTAATAGTAATTTTTTTCCCATGAAAGCGTTAGCTGTGCTTTCATGCAGGACAGCATTTATCCTGTATGAAAACCAAGTGTCCTTGTTCAAGTTACTCTTTGGGTAAAAACCTAATGCCCTTCTGCTCTTGGGCTGCTCTAATACCAGAAAGTTTTGGAGTTTTACTATAAACCTAAAAAACATCTTTGATTTAATATCAAATTCACACACACACCACACTCTGTTTCTGAGGCTGAAACTTAAGTCGTATAAAAAGTGCAAAAGCTGCCAAGCCATTCCTCCGTGTCCCACGTCACGGAATAGAAAACATCCCCGTGCTCCAGCTCCGTTCCACCGCAGCGTCTGATCCTTTATTATTGCTATTTGCAGTTACACAGAGCTCCACGCTGTTCAGGGGAGAGAGCTCTCCCTGCCCACTCCCCGGAGGCGCCGGGCGGGCTCAGCCGTGCGCGGTGGAGAGGCCCTGCCAGCCCAGCGGCAGCGCGGGCTCCGGGGACAGCTTGGCCGAGCCGGGCTGCTCCGCCAGCAGCCTGCGGAGCGTGGCCGACGTTCCCGGTCGCAGCCAGGGCTCCGTGGCCACGGTGTCGGTGGAGCTGGCCTGGGACTGGGCGCGCTTCAGAAGGTCGTCCACGTCCCCTAAGGAAATGTCATCACCTGAAGAGGAGAGCAACACGTGTGTTAGACGGGACAGAAGCTCTTCTCATCACGACACGGGACAGGCTTGGCTGCAATCAGTGCAGCAATAATGCTTTTAAATTTTATATATACATATATATATATATAATGCTTTGAAATGATATCTATTATAATGTTTTTAAATGACATTTCTACTTGGCACACGTTTGCTAATGTTCTGGGGAACAGCTCCCCCCAGCAGATCAGCAAGGGGATACAGATACAGGCAGAGGTGGGTGGGCTCGGCAGAGGGTTCTTGCTTTCCAAAAATCTTCTATTTAGGGAGAATCAAATCTGTCAGTGCCTGTATGCATAAAAATGCATGTGAAAATAAGGCCATTCAATTCCAGCGGCCTGACTGAACCGTGTATAAACAGTCTCCTACCGAGGAAGAATTGTTTTAACTTGGTTTAACAGTGCAAATGCAAGTCAGCCTGTGCATCACAGCCCGAAACCTCAGTGAATGTCATGCTGAAACTGGCTAAGTTGGGATCTTCCAGCTACAAAACAAGCCCCGCCTAACAAAAACCAGAACTGCCTTGCCTATGAACCTGGGGTCGTTATCACTCTGAACTCTACTGTTACTTCTTTCAATTCTGTCAGCAATTATACATACATCTAATACCTTAAACAAATAGTTCTTAGTGTGCATTATCAAGCAACATACATTTTTACTATATATGAAGGGGTATAAAGATATAAGTTCCTCTGTGCTGTTCATTTTTTGGCTTCACAGCATCTGATTTTTTACTTAAACAAAAAAAATTATGCAAACCTTCTCTATCTATAACAACTGAAAAATGCAACGTTTTCCTCTTAAAACTGAACCACGTCAATGAAGAGGTTCTGGTTTCTTGGTGATAAAGGTGGGCAGAAACATGTTTAAAGACTCTTGATTAGGGAAAAAAAAATTTTTGCAGAAACATCCTAATTCAAGCAAAACAGAAATGTATACTCTTTAGTGATTAAATAATTCACCTAAGCAATTAATAATGTAATTTAAATATTTGGATGACTTTACAAATTTCAAGGTTTTGTTCTGCGAAAATGATGACTTTTAAAAATGAGATTTTAAACCAAAGCTTCTGTGAAGATTCTCATTAAAAAAGTTGATGAAAGTTGATGGTCTAAGCATGGGTGTGAGAGTCCAAGGCCTGGAGAAGCAGCAGGCAGGCAGGTGTGCAGGGGTGAGGGGAAGGACAGAACTGCACAACCCCACATATACTGGGAGCAAGGGCTCAGTTTCCCTCTTTGTCTGTTAGGTGGGATTGCAGGTTCTAAAACAAAATGCCAAATACTTTTTGTTCCAAAGGAACTTGGCAGGAATCATTAGTTCTGTCACATCATACAGACAGTGATCTGATCATCCTCCAAGCCTTCCCAGTCTGGGTAAAACTTGTCTGCAACACTAGAAGTGAGAGCAGACCTCCCTCTCTCTAGGGCCTGGCATCTCCTGTGCTTGAAGCTGGCAGAGTGAACCTCTTTGTCTCCCAAATCTTGGGTCAGATCAACTCTCCCATGGGCTGGAACCCACAGTTTTCTGCATATGTAGGTTTAGAGGGGTTAACAGCACACAGCAGGGAAAATGATACCTAAAGAGAATTCATTTTCTGTTTGCTGCTTTAAGAGATGATATCTAGCAACAATAAAAATAAGGTTGTTTAGAGACAAACAAACTGTGACTGTCCAGGCCAGAGGGCTGCATTTCCCCACGCTTAACTACTCCTGCCTTTAAAGCAAAGCCTTTAGATCTTGCAGATGCCAGAGGCAAGAACAGCTGTTCTGCCAGAGCTAAGATCACAGTGCACATCACTGGATCGGACTCACTTGGTGCTGCTTTGAGAAAGCACAGCAGATCAGCTGCACTGCAGAACTTCTTCATCATGAATTTCAACACTTCGCACACTCCCTAAGAAACTGTCCTTAATTGGGACACACATCAAGACTCTTGATAATTCAGTTTGCATGTGGAGGCTGAGGCT